CTGCTGTTCTCAGTGGAAGCACTAGCCCACCGCAGGAGGAGGCAGTGCGTGGCTCTCAGTGAGGTGACTTCCCAGCCTGCCCCACGAAGCTGGGGTGCTACTCCCCACTGCACGTGTACATTCGCAGTCAGAAAGAAAGCTCTGAGGCTGCAGCAGCCCTGGAGTTCAGCTCCCATCCCTAGGGCTCAGTGCGTGCCCAGGGTGCTGCTTGGGCCTTAGTTTCCCCACCTGTGTCCCTAAGGGCTTTTCTGTTTCCTCTCCTGCCTCTTTGTCCCGTCGTTGACATTACCTCAGATGGCACCTTCAGCCTCCTAGGTTTCCCCATCTGCACAGTGGGCTGGGGAGCACACACAGCCCCCTCCAGATCTAGCCAACATGCAAGTATTGCAAGCACTGGGCTGGAAGGCAGAGAGCAGCACTCACGTTATGCCCTTGGTCTTCTCCAAACCCAAGGCCTCTGAAGGGCTTCCACCCGAGAAACTGGAACCCTTGTTCTGCAGCTTCTTGGTACCTTGGGGAGGTGGCATAGCATCCAGGGTGAGGGTGGCAGCTTCCTGGTGGTCCCTGGCATTCTTTGTCATGGGCATGGCTGCTTCAGAAAAGAGTGCTCAGGGTGGCACAGAGGCCTGGATGGAAGCGGGCAGTGGGAAGGTGGCCCTGCAGGTGCAAGCCAGCTCCGTGGCTTCTGCCACGAGCCTGCCCTGGCAAGGCTGGAGTGAGGCCCCGCCCTCCTCCCGAGGGCCCAGTCTCCTCCTACAGCCCAGAGAAGCCAGTGCAGGAGGAGGGCCCTGGGAGAGGAGGCCCAGGCTGAGGGTTTGGAAAGGGTCAGGAGCCCTCCCGGTGCCACCCGATGCCAGGAATGGCAGCAGCACCCACAGGCTGGCGGTGGTAGCGGCTGAGGCACAGGCAGTCCTCCGCTTGCTCTATCTGCATTTTCTCATTAATTCTGCAAGGCAAACAACCATAACTTGGTGCTGAAGGCAGATGCCTGGCTGAGATCACAGACTAGAAAGTGACGGAGTTGGGGCAGAGCCGCTTGCCCAGACTCTTAGCTAGTATCCTGTCTCTGCTCCAGGAAAGCAGCTGCAGACGCCTCCTTCTTCGTGTGTCCTGGGGTCCGGGAGGCTCTCGGGGGCCCCGTCTGCTCTGAAGTGCTTCTCCTGGAGCTCCCTGCCTTAAGTGAGGAGGAAAAGGAGAGGTCACAGGCTCCCCTGACAGTGCCCCCATGTGAGGTGTCTGGGGAGGAGACCGGCTGTGGGAAGGGGAGAGAGTTGGAGGTTGTGCAACCTACTGCGGCCTTCTCCAGGAGGGACGTGGCTCTGGGAGGGGGTGTGGCTGATTGAGAGTTACGCTGTCCAGCTTTGAGGACAGACCTGGCAGCTAAAGAAGGTCTCAGAGTCCCTCTGAGATCCCTGCTTTGTCATTATCTCAGCTAGTGTGGATACGTGAACCGAAATTTCCTCTTCTCATGAAATCATAGCATTTTGCTCCGGCCAGCTGACTCTTCCCCCATCTTCTCTGTCCCAACACTAACATTCATGGGAGGGGCCCCGTGCACCCGAAGCTTTACTAAAAGAATCACACTAGCAAGTGGCAGGACTGGGACAGAGTTCTCAGGCCCCTCCCCGACGTGGGCTCCACAGAGGGCCTCGTGTGCCATTCTGCCCTTGTGATTTTCTTAAGGGACACGCTTGCCCTCCCTAATTGCTCCTTCTGATCCGCCCAGTGGCACAAGCCCCAGACTCCCCAAACCCAGCTGCTTTCCGGGTAGAATCGTCACTCATTTCTGCAGATGTGGCAACGGGTGCAGAACAGCTCAGCTCGCCAGGAGTCAGTCAGTGCTTGCCAGACTCTCAACTCCAGCCCTTTTCGGTTTAAATGCTGGCCCCACCTTCCAGTTCTTGCCCTGAATCAACAGAAACGCCTGGTGCGGTTTGTGAAATGCTCCCTATTTGCCTGCCTGGCGCTGTTCCCCGGGCTATTCCTGGTCTTCTGGTAGCAGGCAGCTGCGCTCTGTAACCTGCAATTGGGATTCCACAGCTCGACTCTAACCTCAGATCCCACCTCGCTGCCAGCAGTGAGGCGGCTCGAGCGGCACGCCCCGTAGAATGGACCCGAGCCGCCTGCGGACGTGTCCACCTCTGCTCTCCTCTCCAGGGCGAGAACTACCTGGAGTGCGCCAGCCGCGTCCAGATAGCTTTCAGGCCTGGCGCACACGGCAAAGGCCCACAGCTCTCTTTGCAGTGTCGCCATTACTTCCTAAAGGACAGAACACTTCAGTCCCCTCACGTGAGAAGTCAACCTCAGGATAAAGGCAGCATCCTGGTGCCATCCTCCCTCGCCCTGTTGGGCCGTCACTACCGACCTGCTGCGGTGCCCCCCAGTCTGCAGGCAGGTGTGAGGGGACAAGAGCTCCCGGTCACTGGCAGTGTCCCCAGGGAGAACCTGCTTCACTCAGATCGCTTTACTTCTGGCTCCCCAGATGGACTTGTTCTGTTCCACTGATCGGCGCTGAGGCCCAGAGAAAGGAAGGGACCCAGGGAGTGAGCGGTGACCTGTGGGATCGCGATGGGGCCCACAGCTCTTGGGGTCCAAACCCCATCGTCCCACCGCTTCTTAGATGCCTGGAGCTGCATGATGGACGGGAGGACTCGCTCGCTCATTGGATCAGTCCTCACCATGGCCCCGCCCAGCACGCGTGCGAAGATGAGGCGGGAATGCGCACCTGTGGCTCCATCTGCCACAGCTTCAGTAACAAGTCCATCCGCTTGTGGTTTAAATGACGGCTATTTACTTTCTCACAGTTCTGGAGGCTGGAAGTGCCGGCTCGAGATCTGCAGGCTTGGCTCTGGGGAGGACCCCTGCTGGCCTTCCTGTATCCTCATGTGGCCTCTCCTTGGTGCACGCGTGTGGCGGGGTGGAGCCTTTCTCACAAAGTCTCCTTCTTCGAAGGACACAAAATCTGTCAGACCAGGGCCGCCTCCTGGCCCCAGATAACCTTAATTGCTTCCTTAGAAGCCCCACTTGCAAATGCAACCACCTCGGGATGAGGGCCACACTAAAACATCCAGTCCCTGACAGTCTGCGTGCTGGATTGCAGTCCAGTGGGGGAAGCCGTGCAGGTCTAGAGGACATGGTATCCTGGTTTAAATATGAATTGTCTGCCTGAGGACTCAGGTACTGAAGACTTAGTTCTCCACGCAGCAGGGCTCGGAGAAGGGGCCTAGAGAGTGGCTCATGAGGGCCTTAACTTCATCAGTGGATCAATCTATCGCTAGGATAACCAAATAGGGTATCGGGAGGGGGGTCGGTCTGAGGAACTGCGCGGTGGGGGCCTGCCTTCAGGAGCACCCCTCTTTCTCTTGTTTCTGGTTCTTTCCCCATCTCTGCTTTCCAGCACTGTGCCCTCCGCTGTGATGTTTCAGCCTTGGAGCAAAATGGCCATAGACTGGGCCCTCTGAACCCAAACAAATGTCTGCTTTTTCAGGCTGTGTAAGTCACACCCTTTGTCCCCTCAAGGGCAAGGTGACAAATACAATGATCTGATGGGGGAAGGGAAGGAAAACCAAGAAATTACAAACTGAAACCCATGCCCTGGATGGGGTAGACTTGATGCAGTGATGGAGGATGATGGGGAGAAGGAGGCATCGAGCCAAGACTGCAGAGGGGAGGTGGCTGTGGGAGGTGAGGGTTAACAATTACTGTGAGGTGTGGGCAGGGAGTTCTAGTGGAGCAGGTGTCAGGGAGTGGGCTGGGGAGGGAATAGCCGAGAGGTCTAGGAGCCTGAAGGTGCCAGGGAGTGTTGGCAACCCTGTTCATGGCATCAGCTATCAGGACCCTTGCAGTGAGCCCCCAACCCCCTCCAAGTAGTACAGCAAGGTGGGAAGAAAGAGCAAGAGATTACATAGGGGTGCCACAGGGACCTGGGTGACCAGTTGTGCGCAGGGAACCCAGACTCTTGGTGCTTATTCATCACATCTGAGTTAGGCAGTAGGTAAGGGGCAGTGGGTGTTTCTGGGAACAGTGATGGTGGCTGCGGTGGGCTGGGCAGGATGAGCCAGGGGGTGATAAGGAAGCTGTCGTTTCCAGGCGTCTTGTCCCCTTAGCAGGTCTTTCCTTGCCCTGTGAGGCCACTGCAGTCGCTAGTGCACAGCCTCCAGCTGTGACCAGAAAAGAGGGGGCGTTTCTGGGTTCCGTTCTGGCCCAAAAGGGCAGGATGAGAATAGGCGTGGATGTGCCCTAGACTCAATTTATAATTCCTGGTCCCCAACAAGGTTGGCTGAGTCCCATGAGTGTGGAAGTGAGCCTCAGAGGAGGGCAGAGGCAGGCTGGGCTGTGCAGCTTAGGATGCAGATTGTGTCGTGTTTTGTTGTGGGCTTGGCAGTCACTGAAGGGTTGGGAAGTATCCGGGAGGGGAAAGGTGACAGAGCTTTCGGCTTTCAGCTAGGAGGAAGCTAAGGTGCAACTTTCTTCAGTCATCCCAAATCTGGGTTCATCCGACAGCAGCCAGCTCCAGCGTGCCGCCCAAGTTTGACCCCAATGAGATCAAAGTCCTGCACCTGAGGTGCACGGGTGGCGAAGTTGGCGCCACGTCTGCGCTGGCCCCAAGATCAGTCCCTTGGGTCTGTCTCCAAAAAAAGTGGGGGATGAAATCACTAAGGCAACTGGTGACTGGAAGGGCCTGCAGATCACGGTGAAACTGACCATTCAGAACAGACAGGCTCAGACTGAGGCGGTGCCTTCTGCCTCTGCCCTGGTCATCAAAGCCCTCAAGGAGCCGCCAAGAGACAGAAAGAAGCAGAGAAACATTAAACACAGCGGAAATATCACTTTTGATGAGACTGTCAACATTGCCCAACAGATGCGGCACTGGTCTTTAGCCAGAGAACTTTCCAGAACCATTAAGGAGATCCTGGGGACCGCCCAGTCTGTGGGCTGCAACATGGACAGCCAGCACCCTCATGACATCATAGATGACATCAACAACGGCCTTGTGAGTGCCCAGCTAGCTAAGGAGCATACGAAAATACATCAATAAAGAGATGATCTAAAAAAAAAAAGGGTGACAGAAAAGGGGGGGGCTAGCTTCCTGTGGTGCTGGTGGGGATGGAGAGGGTGTGTGTGTGTGTGAGAGAGAGAGAGAGAGAGAGAGAGAGAGAACACAAGGGGCCCATCCACTGACGTACCATTTTTCCTGTGCCCAGTCCCACGCCGGTGTGTGGGCGTGGGCGCCGCGCATTCTGTGTTTCTGAGGTCGCAGTGAGTGTGGCTGGGGAGGGGAAGTGGCCTTGGGCCTCCCAGCAGCTTCTCCCTTCAGGCTGGGTGGGGACAAGGACAGGGCGGGCCCTCGTATGGGCTGAGATGCGAACTCCACTCGTGGGGCCCCAACGGGCTGCGCGGAGCTGTTTGTTTCCCGCGGAAGCTGAGAACGCAGGCATCAGCCCCGTCTCTGTGCCAGGCCGAGAGCTACCCTCTGCAAGCCCTGTCCACGCGCCACCGACTTCTCATCGCGCTGCCTGCCGTGCGCTGCAGGCCTTCCTTGCAGGCCTTCCTTGCAGGCCAGCGCCTCCATCCTCTTCCAAGCCGGCGCCTCGTCTCTGCCCGTCAGCGGCAGGTTCCCGGGCAGTTTCCCCTGCTCCCCGCTTCGGCTGCCTGAAGCCCATCCCTCCCTTCACCAGCGATGAGGCCACGCCCGGGCCCAGAACGGGACTAAGATTCCTCGCGACGGCCACCCACAACGCCCTTCGCCCTTCGAGATCTGGCCTCTGCCACTCTTCCAACCAATCTCATGTGTCTCTCCTCCGAGGACATTCCACTCTCTAGCTTTTTTTTTTTTTTTTCCCCCTCATAAGCTCTGCTTTGTTCTTTTTCTACATCCTGGAGGAAGGATGACAGGTTGTCTACTTGAAGCCTGTTTTTCTGTTTGTTTGCTTTTAAATATTGCAGGTGGGAGCCAGGGGTTCCCACGTGCCAAGTACTATGTTTTATACTCAAATGTCCCCCCAGAGCTCTAGCACGGGTGATTGGCCATGGGGTGTGACACCCCTCTGGGATCAGCGCTCGGATGAGTTTAGAGCCCACTTGCTATTGAGGGGTGGAGTGTGCTCAGCAGGGGGCGCCAGGGGCCGGGACTGTGGTCAGAAGGGCCCGTCTTAACTCTTCTTTGTCTGCTTTCTGTCTGCCACCCCAGCCTTCGCCCTGCTTCGCTGCCCTGGAGACACTTGGCTGTCGACTGAAACCCCCTAAGCTGTGAGCCCAAGCAAAC